AAACGCATCCAGTGTAGCTCAAGGAAGTACCCTTATTCACAAACTTTGCTAATTTCATATCCGTCTAGTGATCATTAAAGTCGATTAACGTCTTCACTCGCAGGGGAATTACTTTGATGTTAATGTACGCACTAGTAAATGAGATATGATCCCTACTTGTTTACGCAATGTAGCTATAGCATGCACAAGGTATTTCAATGTTTTTGACATTTAGTACTTGTGTTTTTAGACTTTCAAATGTATATATATATAATGAACCATACAATATAAACCGCTGATGTATAATGATTCGCAGAGGTAATCGGAAAACTTTTGGAAAATAGTGGCTGTTACGTAAATCGTGATTCATTAGATAACAGGCAGCAAGATTGTATAACCGTAATATCGTTATTCGATATGCTCAGATCACACGTACATCTGCCGAGTGCGAACAATTGAAAAGCGTTTGATAAACTCAAAGTCATCGAGGAACCATGACCTCGAGCAGGAAATATACAAGGTCACTCGCGAGAAGGTGAGTACGCTTAACAACCGAGTATCTAATTAGTATTCGCATAATTTCCAACTCAATACAAGAACAATATATGAATAAAAATGCGCGAGAGACTTAGTCCTGACTTCGTCGTAATCGACGCTCGCTCACCCATAAATGAAATTGAAAAACAAAAGAACTCAACAACTGACTCACGAGACAAAAATGAATAAAGAATGTTGTAAGTGCGAATCTTTCGTGTTTGAAAATCTACTACCAAAGTGTGTGTGCATTCGCATTCTATTGAGTGTGTGATTGTGGGGCGTTAGGCGAACACGAAGTGTGTTCGCCTAACGCCCTATATCCCTTTTACTGATCAATTTTATTTACCCAGTTGTCTAACACAATGTAAGTCAACACGATTAAAACTATTATTTTAGTGTTAGATCCAAATTATTTAGTATAAAGGAGATTAAGACCTGTACATTAGTCTTGATGAATAAAAGTTACAGAATTACGGCGCCCCTGTTAACATATTTAGTCGAAACCGAGATCTTAATGGTTCGACGTCGATTTGTTTGGACAAATCGACTTATTTAAACACTAACGATATTCTCGTGCCAAAAATAAATCAAAACAAACTCGACTGCGGAGTTAAACAATTTGTTTTTAACACTCTACAGACTAATTCTTAACGATTGAATAAATTACTGGAAATTAAAAGCTTTTTTAGATTTCTTTTACTGCTAATAGCTTGGTGTACATTGTCTTATGAGAGCTGGTGAAATACTGAGTGTTGCAATAATTCCGGCTTCGCTTCCTTATACAAATAAATATTCTCTCATAAAATAGGTCAACAGGTCAGTTCTGCGAATCATTAACCGATGAAAATTCAAATAATACTACGTTTATGGAAATTCCAGAAATTACTGTGAAAAGTTATTAAATAGACATTAAATTTTACGGCGGGATCGATAAAACCACAGTAGCGTCGCCTATTCGAGGATAAAGATTACGTCAGATCTTAGATCAGACCCGCAATTGTAAACTAAAGTAATAGGAAGAACTTACACAAACTCACTTAAGCTTAATCCAACCAAGACCAAGAAAAAACAGGATTGACAAGTTTTCATTTTCTTTTTTACCTAAAACGGTTTATTTTGAACTAAATCGATTCACATTAATTAATTCTAAAAAATGTATGATTATTTAATCAACGATTCGTGGATTCGAATCCTACTCGGTCCACGTTTTCCTAAAATTCCAAATATTTTTAATGAAACATTTAAACCGAAATGTTGATAAAATTTAATAAAAACCCCGCGGTTTTTATTTTATTTAGTTTTTAAATGATTGGTTGGTGGTGGTGGAAATATTGAAATTCCGTCCAGGTCACGAACTACCACAAGCGAAAAAGCGGTAAAGTGTAATCACATTTCGGTCTCAGTCGGTGGATTTCTGAATGTCCATCCACAGCCAAGGGGTCGACAGCGTATCTTGTTTAGATGTTATATTGCTGGGTCATATATAATGCACATCAAAAGGGCAGGCGATATACAATCAAAATGTTAATATTTTCGCTCCACAGTTGTAACTGAATTTTTATTAAACATTAACAACTTGTGCATAGTCTGGCACGTGGGTTGATTGCATTGTTTGTCATACTAACGAAAAGTATCGTCTAGTTTCTAGAACACAATAGTAAACACAAGCGAAACATTTACTTAGGCAACTCTACTAAGGGCGCAAGTACATAGTTACGAAAAGTAGGTAGAGAACGTGTAAGCTACAACAACTTGTTGGTTTATATCAGTAAAAACCAAGAAAAGTCATCAAATATATATAAATCTCGTCGGTACAGATATTTTATATAACATATGTATTAGTATTTATGTATTATATAATAAAATAAATAAAGATAATTCCCCTTTCAATGTGTACAGAATACAAGGAACTAAAGTAAACATAAAACAATGAATATCTTATCGATATAACCCTTCTTAATTAAATTTATGAGTCTATTACCGTATTTAAAACTATATTTATACCAATAATGTAACAATAGTAGCAGAATCAAAACACTTTTTTTTACTATATTTTCCAAGATCATCTTTTTTCCTAGTACATTTTGTCGTTGTGCATCAATAACGAATACCAATGTCAAACAATAGGCAATGTTATGATCGATCAACAAGGTACTATAAGACCGGAACCAAGCCTAACCGACAATCTCGTAATTGCCAGATCGCGGCAAGGGCGCCAAGCCTTTATAATCAAATAAAAACAAAGTTATCGATACTTCAATCCAATTTTGTGTAAAGATTACTAAAGTAAGTACAGTGAGTTTTAACACACTAGCATAGGACCTCCTCAACAATGATTAAGAGCTAAGACCCACCACACTGCTCCAGTAAGGCTTTAACACCGAACGAAGCAACACGTTACACCTCATACTTCCAAACTCCTGGCTAATACTAGAAATTATCTTTAAAAATTCAAAGTTCTTTCCGACAGACCCAAGAGTCAGATCCAAATCTTTATGATCTGTAGTCATGTATATACTATTAGACTAAGAAAGCAGGTAATAAAAGTAATAATATTTTTTCTTATTACACAAAATTATCGCAAATCTGCTTTAACTGTGTATATTTAGAAGAATATTAAAAACCATCATATATAAATACGAATGGAATTGAAAAGCTGCTTTTTTGAAGTCGCTTTAACAAGAAGTCCATAAGAATAACGGTGCAATTGAAATCAAAATACTTTGGGGTTGATAACTCCAGTAAGGTATTCTAAAAGACATTAATTACCCTGAAATCAAGGATCATCTGGTCGACCTCACAAAAGTGTCTCAATAATGCTCTCCACTCAATCAATTAAGATAACCTATAAAAAGCGACGACACTGCGATACACCTACGTCGGGTCAATGTTGACAATCTAGATCCACTCGGGAGATATCCAGTATTGATTGGGTACATAAAGAGTTTTCACGTGGGGATTCGCAATTTCGCGAATGATAAGATCAGTTATACAATTCTATATGTAAAGATGGTTGTACTCGTTGGTCTTATTCTAGTAAATGTTAATCAACGGATCGGGGGTTCTATATCACTATCAAGTTGTGAATCCTATTGATCAAGTAAATTCGTCTGGAAAATCTGAAAATTTGAATCCATTTTGGGTTGTAGTAGGAATATCGAAATTCCTTCCACCGTCCAAAGAAAAGCCATAAAGTGTTGCGTTATGCTTAAATATGTAGTCCTGACTTCTGTGTGCCCAGCGCAACTTGTTCAGTTGTTATATAAGGCTAATATGATATTTTACCTATACAAGAAGTCACATCCTAGTTTGACCTCCTATTGACATTAAAAAACACATATGCCTTTTTAAAAACTCAAATTCCCACAGTGAACACAATATCGTTTCCGTACACGATATTAATATGTGCATAATATAGTCGAACCAACAGAGCTCAGTTTAAATAATACTAAATTAATAAATAACCTTGTCATTGATGTTGTGAGGCCAGTGAATTATTCCGTCTGTGACGATTATTGACGTCTCTTTCCTGCACGATGGATCTAAGCAGGATAGACATGTTGCACCTCAAATGCACGGTAGATGTAGATAAATCACGGCTCGACAACGTTCGTGATAAGCCTTCGTCTAACAGAATGCTAATTTCGATTGTTCTGTGGGATTTATTGGAAATCATTCTCTATCTAGAGCGCACCTCTACGTAAATATAAAAACATATGAATTATCTATGTGCAGTTGAAAGATATTGATGATTTAAGTGCACATTTAACAAACATTTTTTTTATTCTTCTGTTCCTGATTTATACTAATCTTATAGGGGAGGGGTGGCATGAAAGGGACATTTTTGAATTTAAGGTCATAGTAAGTAATTGATGCAATATTTGGAACAGATTAGAGACGAATAGGAAGCGTTTATTAACGAACTATTGAAATGAAATGCAATAATTGTCATAAATAATTTCTTAATTCTTTATTTACGTATATTTAAAAAATGTGTATTTTGTCCCTTTCATAAATGGACTGTATTGAAAGGGACGTAATAATTTTTGAAAGGGACAGTACCTAATTTTGAGAAAATATATATATATGAACGACTTATATATGTAATAAATCACATTTTAAAGCGACTTTAACAGTTGTCATTATTTTATCTTACCATATTAATCTAAAAACTAATGAAATAAACACTTTTATGTAACTAAAATAGAAATTAACAATAATAAAATGTTTTTCTTAGATACAATTAAACTTAAAACATTATTAAAAACTTTTTTAAGACCCTTATAATCACTTTTCTTATAATTAACAAGAAATTAAACACTTATAGAAAATTAAAAGAAAATAAAAAATTGTAATCATCTCTTTTTAACAGCTTTGAAAAATAATAATTTGCTTTTTAATAGAATTATAGTCAACAGTCTCTATAAACTTTAAATTACAGTCTGTAAAGTTAAACTAAACTTAGATACTAATCATTGCAGTTTTTAGTGGCATAGTGAGCAAAAATAATTAAAAGTACCTTTAATGCCACAGGTTTCGTGTGCCCATTTTGTGCAAATTTTACATTGATACCAATCTTCAGTGCTTTCTAAATATGTTTTCTTACAAACATTACATTGGTCATCGTCTCCTGTTTTATTTTTTGTAATTGTACGTTTTCTTAACCTTGGAGCGTCTTTTTCATTTTCTAATATATCATTTATTGAGTCAGAACCCGTATCTATATTTGACGAAGCATCGCTGCTATTGCTGCTGCTACTGCTTGCAATTTTTCGTGCAGCCTTTTTCTTCTTTTGACTAACTGTAACATTTTTCGTAATATTCATTTTTTTCTTTTTAGCTTTCTCGTTACGTTTCGTTTTGATAGATTCTTGATCTGCTAAATTATTTTTAAAAATTTGTTTCACATGTTTTAGGTTTTGTTTCTCAGATTTGGGTGTTTTCTTTTTTAAGATATCCATCATATTTTCTAAAAGCAGTCTTTCTTTTTCAGGGGTTTCCGTTATAATCGTAGTTTTAGCTTTACGTTGCTTCCCAGTAGATTTTCGTGGTAAAGCTTTAGGGTATGGTCGAACGACTTCTGGAGTTATTAGAAGGTAAGCAGAGTTAGAAGATCCAGGTCGTGTATCTTTTATGGTTGATGTTCCAGGTTGTGGATCATTCAAAGTAAAAGATCCTGGTCGTATCTCGTTTATGATCGATGTTTCAGGTTGCGAATCATTAAAAGTAGAGGGCCCAGCTTGTGGTTGACTTAAAATGGACGGTGAAACGATTCGTTTATTTGAATCAAGTTCAGGGTTAATGACATTAAAAGATCTTTGAGGCAATTCTTCTTCATTTGAGGAAGATTTGTCAGAGTCTTCAGATAAATCAGTGGGAGTCTTGAGATTCTGTGGTCTGTCAGTCACGAAAGCAGGCAAAAAATCTTCATCTGAGAAAATGTTTTTATTAATTGGCCATATCCCGGTGTTCTTAAAACCAGAGGATATATTATTCATATTAAAAGCAGCAAAGAAAGCATCTTTAGCAAATTGAGCCACATTATAAATTGTGACAGTTTTGCCAGGGTTTGAGGTCATCCAGTCATTCATGCTGGCTCTATATCGAGCTTTGAAGGGCCCGAATACTGTCACATCGAGAGGTTGCAGTCGGTGACTACAGTGAGGTGGAAAGGTTAGTATTATTATGTTATTTGTTCGGGCATACAGCACTACATTAATGGTTATATGCGTCTTATGGTTGTCGAGGACAATTAAAGCCGGCGAATCAGCACTAGGCTTAACAAAGTGCACAAAATGTTTCAAAGCTTTTAAAAAACAATCTTCAGTTATCCAACCAGAAACATTAGCGAGGCCTAAAGCACCTGTAGGACCATTTTCTAGCATGTGTTCCTTAAAATGAACACGTGGGAATATAAAAACAGGAGGAATACTTCCACCAGCAGCATTTGCGAAACCGAGCATAGTAACAAGCGCTCCACGTTCAGTTGAGCTGATTTGACCAACTCTCTTAACACCTGCTTGGGCAACTATCTTTGGTGCATTAGTGACCGTTGTGCACCCAGTCTCATCCAAATTATATATCATATTTGGAGGGAAATTATGCTTTAAGTAACATTTCTCTAAATAATTAAAAAAGTTTTGAACGTTGTGTCTATTAAAGCTCGTAGTTCTAGCTAGAGAAGTATTCTCAGGTTTTCTTACGCTCAGCGAATCATGCCTTTTTAAAAAACCCTTAAGCCAATCTTGACTAGCTGTATTATTTTTTTCCCAAGAAGAGGGTATAGAAAGATTTAAACGAACAGCATACTGATATGCTAGTTCTCTGACTTGTTTAGTAGTCAAGCCATGACACATTTTTGCTGACGTCTTTAAGTATTCTGCCAGAGAACATTCCTGGTCAACCGTAAAAATTTTTTTATTACCAATGTTAGGTTCATAAACAAATGATGTACATTTAGAACTTTTAGCCTTTACGATCAATCTGTGCAAATGCGATTTGCTTACGTTAAATGCTTTCGCAGCCGATCTCACAGATATGCCTTTTTGTAATACTTCATTAACTGCTTCTTCAATTTTGTGTGCCTCGACACGCGTTCTTTTCTTAGGTGCCATTTTAATCTAAATAAAAAAAAGAAATATTATAAACCTAGTAAAATAACAGGCTTGAAAGGGACAGTTATGAAGGGGACGTCCCATTCATAGCCATTTGTCCTGTCCCTTTCATAAATATCATACGAAAATTTGATACATAACCACAAAATCTACAATATTAAATTAAAGTTAACTGACCTTATATTCTTACGTCTATGGATGTCCAGCCTATCTTAAACAGTAAGTTACACACAACTGAGTAACTAGCAGCACTCGATAAAACGTTTACAATTCACACAGAAAAAAAAACTATTCGATCACAATAACAACACTCGTACGTAACCGCCGTGTTTGAAATGGGTGGAGTATGAAGTTTGGCGCGAACGAACTTGCATCAAAGTTGCCATACGACAAAAATATCTTTGTCTCGAAATCATTTATATTTAACCCGTAATTTGAATTGTCCCTTTCAATACGTGTCCCTTTCATGCCACCCATCCCCTACGCACAGAAGCTCTTCAGAAATTATGTAAGCACTATGAGGAATTACTGTAGTGAACCCATTTCGGCCTGATGAGAGCATCCAAAAAGTTAGGCCGTAGTTAAAATAAGTCAAAATATTTCGCTATTTAAAACGTTAAAACTCTTTTTTTTAAATGTGTATTATTCGCGTGCACTACAGACAAAACTATTGTTTCTTAGGTAATCATTTTTTTTATAAAGAAGTATACAAGTTGACAAATTTGGTATAAAAGTATAGACATAAGATCAATTAAAAATGGAATCCTTTATCGTAAAAGAACGAACCATCGCAAAGAATTATTTAACACACCTATATATTTTTGATATGCAAAATTAGCGAAACAAACATTCTTCTGGAAACTTTTTCGCTGGCTGGTAAATGTGCCATGTAAATACATAACAATATCATCAATTCACACATACACGCTAATCTCATTAAAATCATGTAATCGTTAGCGCCAAATTGATATTAACTCGGATTTCACGATCTGTCTGAGTGACCCTAAAGTAATTGGAACCAGTTTATCATAATAAGGAATTTTGTGAAGTGATTCGACGGATCTTCGCCAATTCTTAATAAATGTGTTAAATTAGAAGTCACCTCGGTTTTAATAGCCAAGAGATGGTACAGATAAACGGTAAATAATTTATAGATGTGATTTGCTACATCTGTGTACTATAGCTAATATTACATATACTCGAAATAACGTGGCTACTTCTCATAAAAGTGACAACATCGTCGCAATTTTATCTAAAGCATCAAAGTGAACCTTTAAAAAAATATGTGCGATGCCTGGAGTTTATATCATAAATATAAAACTAATATCCTTCACGTTTTAAACCGTTTAAAATTGTATACGCTAAAATAAGCTTTCTGATATGATTATTAATATTGAAATATAAATACTAGCTTCTATAAACCGTATCTAATTTTAAAATCAGAACACATTAGCGCATCGAAACAAACAAACACTTCAGCTTTATAATATTAGTATGTTGTATTATCAATAACACGAGGAACACTTTATTCATCGGATATCGTTCAAGTTATATCATCAATTATTCACTATTAGCCTACAGTATCGATAGCAGTCCGCCGGCGATACCTACATCAATCTTCCCCACACCAGACTATTAAATTATTCATAATATAGGCAGGATTGTACACAATCATTTAGATTGGCGGTGACACAGTCAATAGTTCATAGGTACAGTCGCGAGCACAACATCGTAAGCGTATCAAAAGCGCTAGGTAGATCGCAAATTGTCCACTATTAATTAATATCGGCTCGCTTTTGTATCGGTATCGGTAAGGCCACACTTGGCCGCGCGCCAGTACCGTACATCAATCTTCCATATAGCAGGCTGTATTATCACACGACTACATATTCGTGAATCAGGCGGCACCCGGCGGCGCGCTTCTGAAACTGGGTTATGTTTACGCAAGACTTGGTTCTTTCCCTTCATTATTTTGTCAATTTTCGGTAACTTTACAAAATAGGTACCGTAAATACTGAACTTTTCAAAAGGGTGACCGTAGTAACTATATTATTAGAGGTACTGTTTGATTCACATTAATGTATAATTTTTTTTCGGTTAAAATTAGTTGCATTTAATTGTAGTGCAAAACAATTTGGTATTTGACGGATTATCTTATCGTATTTTTCTTCTTAATTTTAATTCAATTTTTATTTTTTTATTTAATGCATTATGGTCATCAGCAGCCCCCAATAGTCATTATAGCTGGGCTTGTCGCCTCCTTGGAGGTTTAATACGCCATCTATCGTGGTGGAGAAGCGCGAATTAGTTATCTACACAGTCGAAATTTCACTTGCCGGTTCCCTCTCTATGTTTTCTTCAGCCATATCAGAATAAAGGATATATATTTGCGCGACTAGGGATCGACTCCCCGAAAGAGGGTACACATACCGCTATACCTACACAAGAAACGATTTGCGCTAGTGATACTTTTTAGGTTAAACAAAATATTTTATGTAAATAGGTGCACTTTGACCATTTAATTCTTCATAATGAGCCCGAACCGTCAATGAGTTTACCGCGGGTCGGCTGTCGACGGCGATGTACTGATAAGCCACTTCAACGAACGCTGCCTAACACGTTCCCACGCTATGCACTAACGGCTTAGCAGTGTGTGTAATAATAGACATTCTATTCCGGTAGGCTCGTAAACGGCGCTAGAATTTCACGATCAGTGAGGTTCGTTTGAAAATTAAATATGTTTAGCCTTTTCTTCATGAGCGTACCGTCAAATCAATCATTCCGTTTAATTCTTTAATCAAATTGCGTTACATTATAATAATCATAGGGTTCCAATACAACCGTTTAAAACTAAATTCGATGACTAATCCTTTCGGAGTACCGCCGCTACGAACGATTTCGTTAAATTCAAGGTTCGTTCCCACACGATTGATTGTGCATTGTGTGCATCCCGGATTATAAAAGATGGATCTATAATTTGAGCTGTAATAACTCATTACGTATTTATTTTACTAGCAGAACTTCGTCGAAGCCAAAAAAGGATGTATGTGTTTTCAGTGGAAAACACTTACATCCTTTTTTGGCTAAGTGTAAAATAAAATGCTGTCAAAGGATGGCTAGACCCAGATCACACATTAAATCGCGTTTCGATTTCCGTCTGTAGATTTCAGAATATCCAAAGTCAAAATAGGTCGACATCGCAATTTTCTGGGTATTTCACTTAACACCAAACTAAGTCATACTTCATGACTATGACTTGGGCATTATATTTTGCGAATTCCATCTACTACGTAGTGAGTATAGTTTAACAGTAATATTTTGAAAATGTTGCGTGACTACGAAGTATTTATTTCTGCGCGCGCGGCATTTACAAATCATGGCCTTGGCTAGATTAAAAAGCAGCCACATAGTCGCCGAGTCGACTACTAGGGCAATATAGGACGGGAGGAGTAACGGGACCTACCTCAAGCGTGGCGCCCGAGGTCCTCGACCCGCGACAGCCCGCGAACCGCCTTGACCTGCGAACCGCCAACCTCCTAACGCCCGCTACCAACCTGGTACAACCAGATCTGCCCCGAACGAGTACAACGCCCTCGACTACGACGAATCCAATAAGACACCGATGATAACATTCGCGTTCTAAGTATTTGTTGTACACCGATAGTAAATCAATTTATGTAAAACCCCAGTGCTAAGTCAAGATAATATATTATCATCATTATAGAAGAGCCACGCCGAGCGCGATAAATGTAATAAATTAATGGCAATTGCTTCAATATTAGATTATTACAGATTTTAAGATGTAGGTTTTGCATTACGAAACAGCTGTTTATCTCGAATAACTTATAATGGTTATATCGATAAAAGGCTAAAGGAAATCCGCAAACAGTTAGATTTGAGATAAATAACCCACATACACTACACATTAAGTTTGAGGGCGTTATGGATATATATTAAATACTTGCAATATTTGAGGTTTATTTCATTCAGAGCTCCGTAACAAGACCGGTAGTCGAAAAAAAGTTTGAAGCAAATGCGACCATGCACAAAATTAATCAGCCTTTTACCAGGTTGCGAGGACCACACAAAATTTGCGTCTGCGTGTGAATGACCGAACAACCTTGGATATTTCAATGGAAACACACTCTTCATTTAACGATTACATCGGACGTCTACATTATCCGTGCCGTTTTTTGTTGCTTATTGATGAGTATTAATTTCATAATTTTAACGAATTTTAATGAAAATCCACCAGTATATTCCCTAATCTTACTATCCCGAAGCAGGAATGTATGTATGCCTTTACCCCAAAAACTACAGAACGGATTTCGAGAGTATTAACAATATAAACCACCGATTGTTCTCTAAATATAATTAAACTAGCTACGCAGTTATATATATCAAGTATACAGAACCAAAAATACCAGGGAGTAAGAAACATGATCAACTAAAGTCGTTCACAATTTCGTTCAACGGTATATTACGCTCATCCGCTATCAGCTGATGACAGATTTGCTCCATCAATATAACATCAGCATGACATGTATTTAAATGAACATCCTTCCTTTTTGTAGATGGTTATTAATAACATCTTTGAGAACATAAGACGGATGAAATTGAGGAAATGAAATAAAAACGCGTAAATAACAATTAAACTGAAACTGACCTCAAAAAACCTTAATATTAATGAAAATAATTCGCGAAGCAAGTTTTTTTGAGGTGGGTTTTAAATTTAATAAATTAATAAGAAGAATTTTAAAAATATTTAAAGAAAAAAATAATGAAAGCACATTCAACTTGGACAGTGCATCTTTTCAAACGACATTTGAAATAACCTCATTCCAACTCTAAAGTGTGATTATATTGAAATTTCGACAGAGATTTCTTACTATAAACATCGTATTAGCGAATAAAGACGTTTTAAATTCTATGAAATCGTTTAAAGACGAAGGTGACCTGTTAGTAGAGGTTTTACGTTTCGCGGTGCTATAATTATACTGTCCACTACAATTAACATAATGTACTTGCTTATATAAAAAGACTGAAGCGTTACGAGTGGCAATGTATTGTTTCTAATAAGGCAAACGAGGTACGCTAGGTGAATTATTTATCACTCGTAAGAAATACGAAGTCTCGAGTTTGAGCTAGTATTTTTTTTTATTCCATATTTTTCCTACTTGGTTGTGAAACTGATTGATTGATTTTATATAAAGCTCATTTTCTAAGACGCCGCCAGGGTCATTGAATACGTTTCGTGGCTCCCTCCAGCGGATGTTGGCACGTTGTACTTGGGTACCCGACATAGGACTTCTCATGCTTAACACAAATTAAGGGAACTCGACTGACGGTTTTATGACCCTTTACAATATTTATATATATTACATCTTACACAGACCACACTTTTAAAAAGATCCACAATGTGTATTCACTTCTTATGCTAAACATAATTCTCTACAAATTATAATATCAACACTAGAACAGTCCCGCGACACCATACAAATGGCTGTATTAAAATATCAACGCTATCTTAGCATAGAGTAAACCATTTCCCACGCTCATTATCCCAACGGATTTTAATACAAACACTCTGTACGCCATTAGTCTGTCTGTCGCGCGATAAAAACTAACTCTCACATTAGATTTCTCACAAACCAATATGCTTTAGGCGAAACGACATTATCGGTCTTACACGGACTAAATTATGGAGTGAAATCGAATGTTCTTCAATTTCAAGCGGGCGACTGATAACAATTTTATTATAACAAGTACACATAGAACAAGTTGGCTGATAAAGAAATAAAAATATTTATATAAGAAAGAATATGAAGGATAATACTCGTTCTCTATGAGATTGCAAATATTAGATACGTACCTTCTCGCATATAATATGTAACTACTGTACATTATTGTTTACGGTTAAGTGAAAAATTATTTCTTGCGTAAATAAATATCTTAAATCATAAAAAATTAGCAAATAACCTTAAACAATTGTGAAAAGAAATACCACCATTAGATATTTAAAAAAATGTTTATGCTCGCATGTACGACGTGTCGCCTAGCACGAGGGTACCAGGATAGGAAAGTGTGAAATCGTTACGGAAACGGATGCAGTAATATGTCTGTCTTATTCGATTTCCCAAATCCTGTCACAATTATCATGATACTTTTATACTCTTACAAGTGTTTAAACACTGTTACTTCTGTACGTATACACTTCTAGTACTTACGAATAGCATGTAAACTAGTATTTTATTTTAAAATGCTTTTATTTGGGGTGTATCCGTCTGCTCGAAGTAATCGTAAACCACGCTTTTCTTCGTCTACTTTACGTGAGCTCTAAAATATAGATATCGTGAAAAATCGGTCAAACGGTCTTTAAGACATGAGAAACGTCGTTAGTAAAAGGTATTAAATGCAGTAGGTGGCTACCACTGTTTTAGTTTTACTCTATATAGTAGCTATACAGTAGTAGTTATCCAATTTTATTTCTTTGAAAATAATAAGTGACTTATTTATTCATGTAACTTACTTTCGAACATAATAAGCTTACTTACTCTGAAAAGCTCTTTAGTCTAATGATAACGATGTATGTGTCGTGAATTCGATCCTCACCCGGTGCAAAATGCTAGCTTCGTTTGGAAAACTTAATATTAAATGAGTTGTAGGAATATTGCAATCCACACCACCGCGTTTTATGGCGTTTCGGTTTCAGTCTGTGGATTCCCGAATATCTAAAGCCAAAAATAGGTCGACAGCACATCTTGGGATGTGTTATGTAGCTGGCGTATTATATATTTCATCGTGTAAATCCCATGCTTGTCTCTTCTCCTCTATCATAAAAATAACCTAAAGACATCGCAAATTTACAATTTTATTGAAAATAATGAATTGTATTAGAATCATATGTGATGTCCCCACAAGTACGTCTGAAATTACCCGCCGTAGATAATATAGTTTGTAAAAAAGTTAACACCGTTAAAAGTGTTTTATGTCCATGTTGGTTTTGACTTTTTTTATATGCGAATATTACCGTTATTATCCGAATATTAAGTTAATTAATTAATCTTTGAAAACAATAAATCTTCTACAAACCCTGGTAAGTTGGGAACATATTAAGCAACTAAACTTCTAGACATCGCGAACTTACATTTTAATTTAGAAGAATTAATCGTATAAGAATCATACGTGAAGTACCCACAAGTACGTTTCCGTTAGATTGAAAGGAAATCAACAAACCCTTCACCTCCTGCGCTAGTGTTATTGTTATCGCGACGGGCGCGGGGTCAAATTTCGACATCTGCTCGGCGCACGGTGCCTCTTATCCTTCCACGTAACTCGTTATACGGGCGGTTTATTTACAAGTCCCCTATCGACCTCTGTTAGACTTAGTGTACCTCTAACAAATGTGCCTTCTAGCAAATATCCTATTGACGCCCCTTCGCTATTTAACTTGGATATTTAAATAAATATCTCTGTATCTCTTAGTATTCATATTTATTTAACTCTTTATTGTAACACACAAAGTATATATACTGTTAGAGAAAACATTGGTATTACGAAGTGTGGAGTGCAATGGACGGCCTTATCACTATAGAGCCTTCCCTTCTAGGCAACGCTGTCATCTTTGTAAGTTTTATTAAGTTGATTCTAGTCTGATTGTAATTTGCGCTTCGTCGAATATAGAAGTAGAAAACTACATTATATATACACAAGCTTACAGAGAAATGCCCACATATTTTTATAAATAAATTTGCCCCGTGCGTCACGGGCTAACCACAATCCTGTATCCGTTTCACTGATCGATTTATTTCTAGACAAGTAAGTAATTAGACTTCTATGCCCTGCCCGATCGAAACACTGTATTGTTTCGCCAAGATAAAAACCCTTCGCCTAACCTTTTAGCTACAGAGGCACTCATAATTTTATAAATACCTGTAAGTACGTATAGCAAAAGTAGCCGAAGGATTTAATATAATATTTTTTAAATGACTTCAAAACATTTAATCTGTAAAATTTTTCATGCTAAATAGATTTTTTGATGATAGAGGAAGATCAATCAGAACAAGTCAACCTATTTTGACTTTGAATATCCGGAAATAGACACCGAAACGCGACTAGAAGATCGAATTCTATATATTGTGATCATGCATAAATTATTTATAACATGGACATTCACAGACGAAAATGTATAGATCAGCGCGATGTATCGCACCTATCGAATCACTCTTCCACCATCGAAGTGACCCCAGCCCTCGCGATAACGCGTGAGGCAAACAGGAAGACCGCAAGGGTATGTCCTATTAGCGTGGAGCAAACAATAAGGGAGTCCAACCGCACGGACCACACGGCCAGCCAATTACCGGATTACTTATGCGATTACAGAGCCACGATCAGAGTCGAAGAGCTGGACGTTTTTTTTTCACCTCTGCGAAGCGGCACGCGTCACCTTTGTATATGAATGTCACCATGAATATAAAAAATACGAATTCTTTTCATATATGTCTGCAATATAACAAAAGCCAAGACACCTCTATAAAGGGAAGCTAAACAAAATTAGACTCCTACGCAAATGTATTTTATACGTAAAGATAATAAAACGTGACGCGATAGAAGTCGCATCCGGACCTTCGTTAAGCTTTTAGACCTAAACCTGTATTATAGTCCTGCTTTTGCCGACTCAGCATTATTTAGATCTAGGCAAGTTATAAATGAGGAGCGATTTAATTGACCTGGACTCGAACAGCAAACTTTGCAACTTATTATTTTCAACCCACTTAGTTTAATTTGTGCTATGTTTTTTAACCTAAAGTGCATATTTTTAGTCTTATACTTGCATATCTAAGTTGTCTGCTTTTTTAAAAATTTAATTGTCACTCTGCCTTTGTATAACATAATTTAACATCTTGTCTGTTTAACTGTTTTACACAATTCTATTTTTCACCTTTATATTTAAGGCTAAGTTATATTATCTAAGTAATTGTGATTAAACGTCGACAGTCCTCAAATAAATAAAGAAATAAAAATTATTCATATATAATAGAAGCATTAAACACACTAAGAATTAGCTAATAAAATATAAAAAACACTAGCTCTGAGACTATCTGCATTAGATCCAAGTATGATTACTTCAGCTGCAAACAATCTAATTATTTATCTATGTAATTTACTGTGATCGAAATCAGTCCTGATTGGGAAATGAGATTTAAACTTTGTTTACTTTGGTAAAAGGTGTATAATTGTGTTTTGGTATATTTTTTTATATGAATAACGATTTGAAGGCGATTTAAACGGTTTAAAACGCAAAATAGAATAGTTAACTTAGTTTTAGAATTTATTTTAACAACAACCCAGCGTTACGGAATCTTTGCGACAGCCACGGTCACGGGGAGGAGAATGTCAAAGTAAAAACTGCTACGCTAGTGCCGCCTGGTACGTCGTAGTTGATATTTTGAAACACTGACTGGCGTTTAAACCGTTAAAATCGCTTTAATTAAAGATGTACTATAAGCGTAAACTTCAGACAGTACTTAATGTTTGTGCAACGTATTTATCTCGGTGGGAATCAAACCCGCGTCGGGTATTTAGCCACTCAATGCAACCAAAGTTATTTAAGGCGTTTTATACTAAGAAACACCGCATAAACACACGTTTAACTTCACCGCGAACTAGCTAGAGACGACAAACTTGTCCAAGTAAGCGGCATCGCTGATTATTTTCCAAACAATAAATTTACTTGTGTGCACTGTGCAGCTCTATAATAGACAAAGCCTACGTTAAGCACTATCCATATATGGTATTTTTTGGCATTCTATCTAAATCTTGCAATATTGCTTAGTTTTTAACTGGTTTTAAATAGATCGTTCTTAAACTTTGGGTCTAGTTATTTTTCGCTTATGGAAATGCCTTTACAACTTTCGGAAAGTCAAAAATGCAATGAAAATAGTACTCAACGCCCTTGTTATTACATATCCGCTCCACATACGGACTTGTTTTTGAAAAAAAAAAAGTAAAACACGAAATACTATTATCTTATTTTTATGAACCGACGGTAGTCTGTATGTCCCCTGTTGCAGCTGTCAAGGACTACGTGTCTAGGTTTCACGTTTTAAGTAATTAAAAGGGTTTTCTTTAAGTTAATCAAAATAATTCATTAGAAATATAACTTTGTGGATACTTTTATCCTATTTATTCCGAATACGAAAACGTTGACACAACTTCCTTTCATATTGACAGAGTAAGCAAAGCCGCAATTGTATCGTGTTTGAGGATACTTTATCAGCAACTGGCAAGTAATAGTTAGTCGAGTTTGCAATCCGGCCCCGTCTCCCCCGGCGACTAATTTCCGCCTGAGCACAGCTCCTTAATTGTTACAATTCTACTTTAATATTCTATATTACGAATTTCAGGTGTCGTGCGTAGTTGAATACATTTGCACTTTGATTGGTTGCGAAGTGAATCGCAATATTTTTGATATTTTTCCTTATTGTTTTTGTATGTTGTATGAATTTCTTAGTCACTACAAGTGCTGCCATCTAGGCGCTCCAGTTGCAATTACCACGGTCCGTCTCCAACATATACAATATACATAGATACAGAATAAGGTAAACAAACAGATAATAGTTTCATATAGTAATTTTTGAAGACACTTATAGTATAGTACTTCATTTACCCAATGTACTTATAAACTACGCATTTGACTAGTAATTAGTTTGAAAAAATACATAGAGCGTATCATTTTTTTTAATAATGATAATAAATTGCCCGGTAAATAAGTTGAAAATATGCTGAACTCGAACCAACAACTACTGTTTCTCTAACAATTGAGCTACTGTGCTTACGTAGGTGTTTTCAAATTTGTTCAAAAACAAAATTCAATTACAAGCAACTAAAACCGCTTTGAAGTTAAAAAACGATGACAAAAAGTGCAGAGTGACGTATAATTTCGTGTACATTGTAATGTATTGTTATATGTTATGACTCCGTGTTACAGCTAAACGATTGATCACGTCAGTTTTTGTGGGAGCCGATCCACATACCGCATTCCGCTGGCTGACGCATCGTTTGATGGCTGGCTAGCCGCTACATACCTGCAACAAAATTGTGTCACGTTATAAAACGTTCATATACTATTGCCGATCTTGACATACAAATAAATATATGAGGAATAATTGTGTCGGTCAGACTGTGAATCCAAATTGTCAAAACAATCTTTAGACTAAACTAAACTTAAATCATTAGAGAAAAACAGACTAACTGAGTAATGCGTTAACGCTACGCAACGGTTTAGCCTTTCACCGATCAAATCAAATTACATTGATCCATGTGGGTAGTTAGGCGTTTTAAGACGTAAAATTGTTTTATTCAAAGAATTAATTTTAAAATTTTGTGCTTTATTCTCTAATCCAAACAATTTATCTAGAATGTAGGTTACATACCCACCCAGTAGACATAATAATATTAGTAAGTATATGAGTTATTCTGTAAGAATCTCATCAATCTTTCAATCCCAAAAAAATATGTGTTGTGCAGTACTAGAAAATCAATTCCAAGACGTTTATGATAATGATACACTTGATGCATCTTTCTTGAAATGCAATTTCAAACCAAACCGCAGCACCATTACATAAAGTAGACTTGACTTCTTGAATCTGTTTGAAATAAGCACGGTTTTGTTTTATAATCTAGGAGTACTTAGTAAATAAATACTTTATTTCTTATAAACAATACCACTTAAAGCAATTTATGAAATTAAAGACTTAAGTTATAAAATACAATTAACGAGTACAGTTGAAACATAGTCGAGATGCTTCCTTAATTGTCAAAAGAAATAGACAAACAGAATAAATAAGTGAATAATAATAATTTTTGAATAAATGTTTTTTTTTTTCAAAATTAAACATTATGTTTAAAAAAAAGGATAGTTTTATAACATAACTACTAATATCCTATCTATATTGTCTATTGTTCCGATAATTAGTACCTAAAATATGTAACTTCTAGTTCTCTTCTTTATGATAGAGAACAGACAAGCATGGGGTTCGCTTGATGGATGAATGATGAACATCAAAACAAGATGTCCTGTCAACCTATCTTGGCTTCGGATATTCGAAGTTCCAGAGACCACAAGCACAGACAGAAGCGAAACGCGATTATCACGGCTTTTTCATCTGTGGATAGTGTGGCGTTCGTGACCCGGATGGAATTCTCAATATTTACCATCCATTTAATATCCAGATTTCCATACGGTGATTTCCAGAAAAATTGATTTTTCTTACTTTTTCGTTTACTAGCCGTACATTGCTACCAATACCCGCCAAGTTGGCCCGCAGATAAAAGCGCTCCTTATATCAATACAAAAGTGACAACACTAGTAGAAAGTGGAATATTGACAGGTTTTCGGTGTCCGAAAGTGGTTGTGGTATCGTGATTTCATCGGTACCACGCAGATACCTTCCTTTCCAACGGCCTTGCTTGCTTGACCTTTCGTTTCGCAACACGAGCGCCACGCTACCGCAATGCAATCTTACTATTGTTGCCATCTTTTTAATTAATATACAATTAAATTACCACCTTTTATGTACGTGTTATACTACAGTATGGAACTTGCGATTGTTTCGTCAGCTTCGGAGAATAAAAATGCTAATTCAAGTCTAACTCTATGAGGATTTTTTTCTAAACAAATAATTAGATTCAGCTTTATTCACAATCAACTAGAAAGCACTACTAACGCCATCTGTGATTCCACCGTTGATCTATATTCAATGCATTAATATTATCGAACGGATAATGCAATAATTTTTAATACCTGTTTTAGTGAACTATCGAACGTTTACATTTTATTAAATTAACTAGCTGTGCCAGACTTCGTCTGCGAGAATCGTTATTTTGTGCGTCCATATTGGGTTTTGCCCATCATCTTTATAAACTTAAGCTGTTAGCCACGATGTAGATCGCGTCCCTTCCCGTCGTTCTTGCAAGCTAATCTTAAAAGATAGACATATAGCATCGCGGACTTTTTTCTAGACCATTTAAAGAGGAATAATTCGTGAACCATTTTGGCAGCGTACGCGTCGAAAACCCACACAAATGAAAATTTTCCCCCGTTTTGTTTACTTTTCACGGTGTATCTTTGCTTCTATAAGTCACAGCGCAATGTTGTATGGCCTTATAGCCTTCCTCGATAAATGCTCTAACCAACACAAAAATATTTTTTCAATTCGAACCCGTAGTTCCTGAGATTAGCGCATTCAAACAAACAAACAAACTCTTCAGCTTTATATATTAGTATAGATGTACTAACGTTTGTTAGTGCATTTATTAAGAGTCTACACTCTACAGTTTATATTATACATACATATATATAGCAATACATTAAAGATAAGTGGTATTTCTTTACACTTGGGAAAACTGTCTTTATTTTTTACTAGGATATCATTTACTTTACCATTAATAAAATTA